TCCTCCGCCACCTCCGTCCTTCTCTCTCTCTCTCCTCCTCTCTCTCTCTCCGTTTCCAGAGAGCTCCCATCCATCCCTCTTTCTTGCCTGCGTGGCATGGCCCCCTCGTTCATGTTCCGTGGCCGTTCCTCCCTCCTCCTCTTTCTCTTTTATCTTCCTCACCAGTTGCTCGCTTCGCCCTTCCTTTCCCCTCCACCACGCCGTGTTCCTCGGCCAGGCTAAAACGTCTATTCTTCTCCCCCCCCTCCTCTTTCCACGGCATACGAGGCATACGAGCATGCCATGGGAGCAACGACGACGTGCCCCGATCATATTTTTTTGCATCGGGAGAACGGAAGGGAGAATAAGAAGAGTTGGAGCTGTATATGGACGCGAGCTTTCCGTTCGTCGCAAGACACGGACGTTATGATATACCTTTCGGGCGGAGGAAGTTGGATTATATCGTTCGAGAAACGAACCCGTCAGGGAGGATGATGTGGATGAAAAATATTCTCGAGATAATTTCGAGATCGTTTCTTCCGTGTGTTGAAAACGCTCGGTTCGTTCAACCCGTTGTTTTCGTTCTCGAGAAGGTTAGGTACAGGATACACACACACACACACACACACACACGGGAACGCGTTATTCGCGTTTCAACGTTATTAACGATTAAGATTCAACAACCTTCTTTGAAATTGCTGCTCGAAATCGATAGATAATTACGAGCTCGATCCCTCGTAATCGCTCTTACCACTTCCGAAACGTTAAACGCCAATCAGGTTGCCGCGTACGAGCAAGTCTCTCTCTCTCTCTCTCTCTCGTAATTTGACCGAAACGAGGCACGATTTCGAATCCTCTTGAATTAATAGCTACCCGTGTTCGTTGATGGATTTGCAGCCACCAACACGAGGGGCCACTCGTGCGAGGCGGAAGGAGGGAGCGAGTTGGTTGTTGGGTAAAAAGAGCAGGCAGAGGGGAAGAAGGTATGTCGAAAGGTGGAGAGAAGGGGAGGGTAATCTCCTCCGGGAGACTACGACGACGACGACGAGGAGAAAAGAAAAAAAAGGGAAGAAGAAGGATAAAGAGAGAGGAGGGAAGAAATGGCGGTGTATAAACGCAGCAACCGCCGCATCGATAAACGTGTAACGTCGGTAATAACTGGCAATTTGCGAGAAGGACTTTTAGTTAGGCAGTACGCGTACTTGGCTTGGAGGGAGAGAAAGGGGTAGAGGGGGGGGGAGGAAAGTGAAGGAATACAATGCAAGGGTAGCGGCAACGATGGGTTGGGTAGTAATTGCCACAAGAGGAGGAGGGGGGCTCGCGTCTTACCGAGGGATCTTTCCAGATATAATAAAACTGGTCGTCCCTCGTGAGACGACGGTGAGAGGGTGAAAGTGACGGCTGTGGGTAGGAGTGGAAAATGCCCAGAAATCAGCTTTACAACAAGTTTTTCTTCACCGTCTGCGAAATTATTATCCTGTTTACCAAGATTTTCTCTCTCTCTCTCTCTCTCTCTCTCAAAAGAACCGGGATAACAGATGATGGTTCTACGAATGGAAACGCGTAATACGTATACTTTGCAACAACGCATCGCGAAACGATGAGATCTTTGCTCGTGAATCGGGTGAAATTCGAAATTTAAACGAGGGGGGGAAAAAAAGGAGGAGTTAGAGCGGAAGAAAAAGAAACGAAGGGAACAAAAACAGCTTGTTTGCTTCGAAGATAACGTAGCCTATACCGGCTATTATTCCAGCGAGGCTGAACGTGTTTAGAGGCCCTACTGTCGGTGAGAAAAGGCTAAAGATATCTTCATAACGACTTAATGTATTGGGCGTGGGGCGGTCTAATGACTACCTGCGCGTCGACCTTTATGCGCTAGTAGCACGTGCATCTTACTATTATCAATCTATAAATGTACCGATCGTCCTTGAGCGATCCTACTATCTATATCCTTCTCCCTCCGATTATGGACCCAAATTGTAGACGAGTCGTAAACGCGCGTAACACGACTTTTTAGATCTCTCTCTCTCTCTCTCTCTTTTATATTATGCCTTCCTTTCTCCTCGACAATTTTCCTGCTTTACGATCTTTCGCGGGAGGCAAACTTCAGCGATGGCTTGAACTTTAACGAAGGTAAACTTGGCCCAACTTTCTCGCTTCGATAAATCGTAGTGGCTCGGGCGAAAAATTATTTAGTCGAGCGATTGAGTCGTCTGGAAGGTATATAAAGGATGTTTTAAGAAAAAAATATAACAGGTATCACGATAGATTTTGCTTGCAAATTATAAATTTTAAGATTAATAAACATTTATCGATACATCGAAGCAACGATATCGCACAACAAGAAAAGATACATACGAAGGCTAAATTTAGAGCAATTTCGTTCGGAATTTCGTGTTACCAAAAATATCGAGGTAATTCGCAAACGTAGTTTCGCGATTTCCAATTTCTTTTCCCTTCTTTCTTCTTTAAAGAGAAGAGGCATCTTCGTGCTCGCGTGTCGCGTTCGAATCGATTCGTCTTTGAACGGGTAGATAAAATCGTTGCTCCGCAATTTGCTCGGTTTTACAAATTACGCGCGAACGCGATGGCGAATGGCACGCGCATCCCCGCGTTTACACTCGCTTGCTTATCCTCGAGCTCGCTTCCACGAGCACCGCCTTTCACGCGTAATCTTAATGCATTAAGATAACCGGCGGTGTTATTGACGCTCGAACGGTAGCGCGAATTAAACTGATCTTAGCTGGTACGTTAATAAAATCGGACGAGCAGCATCAGGTTATTAGTTGTATACAGTCACGGATAATCGGCGAACGTTTGTTTTGTTTATGATACACGATCGTAACGATCCAACGATAAGCGTTTGAACGTGTTTCTCTAAACCGTAACGTTTATTTCGACGTGGAAATTTCGTGTAACTTTACACGAAGGTTTCGCTGTTTAGATCGCATCGATAGCGCGAAGAAAATGCGCGAGAAATAACATGTTCGAGTTGATTGAACCGAAGCAACGAATATTAATTTCGAACAAATTAAAAATGGAAACCTATCCCAAATGATTCGTATTTTTGTTTCGCGAGCCAAAAAACGAGAGATTTACGGGATCTCCACGAAGAAAAACGTAGCCAGCCGTGTAACGACGTTCCGTCAATCGTACGACGGCGAAAAATGCAAATGTCGGGCGCCCGTGTTTTTCGACCGTACATGTCATCCGTTCCATTTTCTCGTGGACGCGTTCCAATTTATTTACCGCGTATTATATTCCCAGGAATAGTTGTCACCACGCCGAAAAATTATAGATTTTCATTCGATGCCATTCATTCACCCTCCCCTCCCCTCGCCCCCATATCCCCTGATTTATATCTGCTTATTCCAGCTTTATCGAAAATGGATTTGCGGGCTCTGTCTCTTTCCTCGACCCGTGCATACAACGCATACTGTAAACGCGCAACTTCGGAGCGCAACTTGACCGTCGATCGTCGGACCTGCCTCATGGACAGAACAATACTTCCGCTTGGTTTATACGACCCCCGCGGCGAGAGAGAGTATTTGCCGCTTGTGCACCGGCAAATATCACCTCGCTCTCGTATTTCGCTATTCCATTTTATTTACGATAAAGTCGGTGGTGCGACTGTGTCACCTGTGTGTCGGTCGGTCCGCGGCCGGTTGGTTGGTTGGTTGGTTGGTGGTGCGTGCGTGTGGGCCACGGAGGAGGGAGGGTGTCCGCTACGGTTGGTTTTCGTACGGGGGGGGGAGGGAGAGAGAGAGAGAGAGTTTGAGTTTTTGCCGCAATAAAACGCGCCTATCTAATCAAGCCGGCCCCGGAATTGATGGGGCCAGCAACC